CCCGCCCCGCCCCGCGCCACCCCGCCCGATATTGGCCACCACGTCCCGTTTACGGCATAACAAATGGCCTCTAATTCCGGCCCATGCGCGGGCCTGCTCCCCGTGACTCTGCCGAAAACAAAACAAAACCCGCGCGTGAATGAAGGTCCGCTTTCCTCACTCGGATTCATTCGTCAAATTTCGGCGCGAGCTCAGCGCCTGCGAGACTCGGCGTAGGCCACTCCGCAGTACACGCATGCCCCGCGGTCAAGACGTTGCCTACCTACTAGGCGTTACGAGAACTTGAAGAGGCTGAACTTTGGCGGGTTCGTAACGGCGAATGACGGGTGTACTTTCTTGGTGATCCCGAACGCGAGCGCCATCCTTTCACCTGCTGGTCTGACATTTTACCAGCGGCGTGCGCCGAGTCGCGTTTCGAGTCCCGCAGAAGGTGCTTTTGCTGCACTCAGCGCGTGGATGGGCTCCCGCCCCCACAACGCCATCCTCCTGCCCCCTCCCCTCCAGAGGCGGCCCCACCCCAGCGCGGGTCCAGCACCGCTCCGGCAGCAGCCCCTGTGCAGCATCCCCTCCTCCGCCCCGCGGGCCGCCCCACGCACAGAGCAAACCTTAAAACGTGCGGGCCGCGACGGCGGCGGCCCAGAAGCCACCCTGCCTCCACCTGCTCAACAAGTGGCGCCCTCGCCGCCGCCCACCAGCGCCGCGCTCCAGGGGAGGCCCGGGGACAGAGCCCTGCATCCGACACGCACTAGCGGGACGCACCCTCTGCTGGACCAGCGGCCAGCGCAGCGGAGCGCAGCGCAGGTGAGTCTGGAACCCCAAGGGAGCCAAACGGCGGTGCAGGGCGAGCACCAGCCCATCGGGAGAAGCATAGTGATTTTGATCGGATGTGGTTCTGATCGCGCAATATCTTGACCCTCCCCCCGTTACTTATTTTAAAAGGCATTTCTTGTGGGTTTTGTGGATGACGATTTAAAAAAGATCGTAAAATCATAACGGGGTTTAAATCAAGTATTATCTTAAACGTGTTTATCTTTCATGGTCAGTGTGAAAGCTCTAGATTTTCTTGTATGTACCTTAGCGCCCCACCTCGGCTCCGCCCCGCTCTAACGTGATGCAGAGCGATGTGACTCCCCGTGACCTGCAGCCACGGCAGCTTATCAACCCCCAAATCGACCTTTTCATTAGAGTCGGTTTTAATTGGATTTGCATTGCTTGTCTGCGCCAGCAGAATGTCACACGCGCCACCGTTCTCAGCGTTCTGTGCGCAGATAGCCCACAACAGTGAGCAAAGAATCATTCCAGAAAAAAGTGTGTGATTCAGTATTCCTCAATACAAGTATTGCGCAGTATTAGTTGTTTTAGAAGTTCTACGCAATTACCTCATTGTACATCGATTTTACGCGTTTTCTGCACTGACCATCTCGTGTTGGTTTCGATTAAACAAAAATTTTCTCGAACGTGGTGGTTCTTGGAGTAATGTATAACTGGATGGAAAGTAAGAGAGAAATATAGATGACGCATCGATGTTAGTTTCAGAGCGATATCGTGGTCGCAGTTTGTATGGGTCTATTTTACTTTACTCTTAGATTCAGAGGCATGAACCTAGAGAAAACTAGAGAGTAATCGTGATGAGCTCAAAATATTGTTTATTATTTAACACGTTCAGTGAGGCTGTGCATCATAGGGGTTGAATTAAACCAGCATAGCGAGACCACATTAAGGTCGCGCGAAATAAATGTATTTATACTTTATAAATGTACCAATATATAAGGAATCGTCCAGAAAGTACGCCCGTCTATCACAGACTCGATTGGTTAATTGTGGGAGCTTGTCGCCTGCGAGACTCAGGGTAGGCAATCCCGCCGTACGTGCATGCACTGCAGGCAAAATGTTGTCTACCTGTCAGGCGCTATGAGAGCTGAGCTTGAATTTGGCAGCCTGGCAATTTCGTAACGGCAAATGAAAGGTGTATTTTTTGGATGATACCTTACCAACCTACTCAGTGTGGTACTTATTTCACGACGCACTTCGATAACTAGCAGTTTCTCTCTGGTCCTCTGGTCCGAGGCTGAGGCTGGGCTGCACGGCGGGCGCGAGGTAGGCCACGCGCTCATTGGCCGTGTCCGGCGGGTCTGCCTATTCCTGCGCTGGCAGGCGCTCCCTGGGTCCCGCCCGGGGCAGAGCCCCCCATCGGGCGACCCTTGAGGCTCGTACACTGATGAATAAAGTGCGACTGGCGTGCATGTGCAAGTGCTCAACAGTATGTTGCACACTTCGAAGTGTTTTACAGCAAGTTTGAAAACTACAAAGTGCTTGGAGTGTAAAGTTGAATCGTGGGAAATGTTCAACTTCAGGATTGGTCAGGAAGCTGTGAACACTTCAAAGTGTTCAAATTTACTGTTGAACACTTTTAATAACTATGCAAATTTGGAAATCAACACCTATAAGAGTGTGCACTAGCGTTCAACAGTAAACTGTGCGACCGTTACAGAAGTATGCACTCTGAAATCCGCTTTGTGATACTTTTACTCAATTTTTGCGATAACTGGTGTTTTGTGATTCCCACGCTAAAGGGGATGATAAGCCCAAAAAATGTCATAAAAGTATCACATTTTTGTGATAAAATCAGCACAAAAACTGTAATAAAAAGTTATTA